CCCCCCCAGGTCTCAAAGCTGTGTTACTATTAGTAAAAGTTTAACTTAAGAAAACCCTTAACAAAGAGCACTTATATAGTGGCTTGCTATAAAGCCAATTCTTTTTCTTGGATTTAATGTTTTCCCCATCACATGCTGTATGTCATTCCCTAGAGTATCACTTTTTTGTTTACTGGTTGCACCCGAGAAGACACACTCTATAGACCCCTTGCAGCACATTGGAATGCAGCTTAATCTGAAGGACAAAACAATGGGCTCTCAATTCTCAGGAGATTGAAATTCTTTTGTTTTGTCTCCCAGATCGAGCTGCTTTGACGTCACATGCAAGGGGTCTATATGTAGTGTTTGAAAAACGAGTAGGAGCGTTTTATCAGGTATAAAACAGGATCTACTAGTTTTTTGAACTGCTTAAGACACTTATGAACCATTCATAAGATTTTGGTTCAACTGGAGCCACCATACACGTCACGAACATGGACTTTTATACTTCGATAGAGATTTGAGGTCACGGGCATGCGCAACCAGTTTCAATAGAAGCTCCCACACGTTGGATATTGCGTGCCAAGGCAAAGACAGGCACGTTAGTCAAAGATTTTTAGGGTTGACTATGGCCTCGATGAGGCTCTATGTCTTCATCTAAACTTGGATGCATACTTCATCCCTGATGAAGTCATCCTCATAGTATTCCAGTGGTCTTTATATAAAGACCACATGTGTCTTTATATAAAAYCACTTGAATACTAATAAAGAGGACTTTATCGGGTATAAAGGTCCATGCACGTGACGTGTATGGTGGCTCCAATTGGACCATAAGCTTATGAAATATTAATGAGTGTTTTAAGTACAACCCAAGGAGATAATCTTATTCTTAAATGTTGTGAAATTGGAAAATATTACGCCTAAGCTGTTTATTAACAGAAGGAACCAGTAAACTCTTCATGGACAAAGTTTATTCACTACATAAAGAGAAAATAATTCAGTTATGTTTTGATCTAGTTATGGAAGAAGACAGGAGCGTGGTTCTTCAAGACCATCCCTAAATACTCCGTCCCTCGTGAATCTCGATCACGTGAATTTGGATCAATCCCACGCAATAGAAGCGTAAGTACAATCTCCCTAAATCTTTTAAATCTTTGCGAGGCTATTGATTATTATTACCGTTTCCACTGTCTCAGACTTTCAAATCTCTTCAATACCCTGAAACGACCCCTGCAGGGGCGGATCCAGCATTTGTTCAGGGAGGGGTGCTGTGCACAAAGTTAACCCAAGGGAGGAGTGCACCCCTTAGAATCAAAGGGAAAAAACAGTATTGGTTATCTTCGAAGTTGGGACACAAAGTCGAACCAGGGAGGGGTGCGCACCCCCTGCACCCCTCCCCTGGATCCGCCCCTGTCCCTGGAATGATTTAAGTCAGGGTGTGGGTAACTCACAGATCGGTTTTGAATTTACAATGAAATTTGATTCAAATTTGATTGTGTTATTTTAGGATACTGGCAGTTCTTCGCGCCACTCGGAGGATTTTGGAAGAACATGGACACCAGTTACCAGGAGATCCAAAGGTTAGTTGTAAGAACTAAGGAAGATATATATTTTTAATGCTAGCTCAACTCTAAGTTTGACGATAATTTATGCGCTTTCGAACTATGCGGTCATTTTCAATACTGAGATACTGATCGTTATAAACGTAAGTAAACCTAACTTAGGGAGATGTCGTAGGACTGTGAAATAGTACGGTTACGGAACGGAAATGACGCGATGTCATACTTTGAACCAATCACAGCACGCGAGGTCTTTGCTTATCCAATTAGAAAGCTTATACACGACAACGTCATGGTCACGGCACAGCACGGCGCGGCATGGATTTTGGCGCAGTCATCTGAATATGCTCTAAAGAGAAAGGGTACAGTAATGGGGCTGTAATGAGACATGACTATACGGCAGATTTGGTACAGCATGTCGTAGCAGTGAAATGGTTTTCGCGCCCTTTATCCTGTCACAACGGGGCTGCACTGACAATTAACAGCTCACAATTACGGCAAAAATGCTGTGAAATCCGCTCTTCTTAGTCAATTGGGGTGTTTGGGGGGGGAGGGGGGGTGCATGTCTCACGATATTTATATTTTGTAGCAGCTCTTGCATGTATTTTTTGTGCTTGCTCGATATTTCTTTGTTGCTCGATATTTTTTTGGGGTTTACGCCACCTCCCCCTCAATCATCCAACGGTCTGTCCTATAAAAGAGACAATATAGCAGCCAAATACACAGCGATTCCCCTAAACGATCTAGTCGTCTTTACCTCGTCAAAATTCGAATCCCTTCTCGTTATTCCGCAGATACCTTTAGTGGTGATACCTCATCATACACGGCAGAAGACAGCGATGACGCTTCGTCGGAGGAAGAAATGATTCTAGACCGCCCCAAACGTCCCCGTGCCAGCACGGGAAGTGGTGGTTCGGTCGTCTCTGACGACTTCAGTCTTTACAAAGAATCGATGCCTGCTACTGGATTACAAACCACAGGGACTCCAACCGAACGGTTTCGCCCTCGAACTGGACGTGTGACCTCTATTGATAGATCGATAGCGAGAAAAAAGAAAAGTAATTTGTGATAATAGTGAATAAGTGAATACATTTTGAGCCCTTGGTATTTTTTACCAAGAAGGCTTACAAAATCTCGCGTTTCTCTGTCATCATTAGAGAGTTTAAGATTCTCGTTTACGGCAAACGTGAAACGTCAGTTGACCATTAAAAAATTCTTTAAAATTAGTGAAAAAGAATCGCAAAAGTCTCCAAGTAGTAGATAAACAATAGAATGCTCGTCTTTGTCGAGAAGGTTTGCTAAAGGTAAAAAGAAATGTAGGGAAACGATGAAAACGTGGTCACGTTTGCCGTTTGCGGGAAGWAAACACGGGAATCTTAATCTGAGTATTACCATCATCATCGCACTGGTTTCTTTCTTTACGACAGGCTCGGAAGACGGTGCAGTTGACGGGATATTTGATTCGCAGATGCAAGTGATCGATGGCGGAACTGATAGCCGCCATTCAGTCGGAGATGAAGAAGACATCGATGAACTCGTGCGGAATTACAAAGAAAATGAATCTCAGAGAAAAGACAATCACTCAGGCAAGTCCCTCAATAGTATGAGATTGGATCTAGGGGAAGATTGCAGGGAGAGCAAACTCCCCCCCCCTCTTCAAGGCATGTTACCTCTGCCATCATTTCAATGTAGATCAATAGGAAACCAATTCGATGCAGACCATTAGGAAATCATTGACACTTATCGAAAACCATTTAAACGTAGAAATAGGAAACCATTCGGACTAATAGAAAACCATTGAAATGTAGAAATAGGAAACCATTCAGACTAATAGAAAACCATGTAAATGTAGAAATAGAAAACCATTAAGACCAATAGAAAACCATTTAAATGTAGAAATAGGAAACCATTAAGACCAATAGAAAACCATTTAAATGTAGAAATAGGAAACCATTCAGACTAATAGCAAAATCAATGGAAGCCATTTCATTGTTACAGAAAACAAGAGCAGATCCAGCATTTTTTTGGGGGGGAGGGAGTCATAGAAAAAATTACTTAAACGCTAACAAAACATATTTCTAGGATAATACTATGGGTTGAACCTCAGATATGGTAAGAGGGTCTGGTCACCTCTCGACCCTCCACCTGGATCGACTACTCGCATGTTTACTCTTAGTCCCTCGACATGTAACCCTTGTCACTGTTATTATTTTTCCAGGTCTTGGTGTGGTTGAGTTTACTCTTCGCTATCAGAAACTYGATAGTCGTCTAGATGTGATTTTAGAAAATGCACAGGTGGGAAGGATGTTCATAAAGATGGATGGATTCTGAGAAAAGAAAGGGAAGGAAAGGGAAGGGAAATGAAAGGAAGGGAAAGAGAAGAAATGAAAGGAAGGGAAAAAATGCAAAGGAAATGAAGGGAAGGAAAGAAAGGGGAGGGAAAGGAAAGAGAGTGAAAAAAGGTAGGAAAATGAAGGGAAGGAAAGGAAAAGAAATGAATTGAAAAGCGTGAGGAAGAAATGAAAGGAAGGTAAAGAAATGGAAAGGGAATAGAGGGAAGGGATAAAAGAGGAAGGAAGAACAATAAAAGAGAATGAATAAATAAAAAGGAAGGCAGGGAAGAAAGGAAAGGAAAGAGTGAAAAAAGGAAGGGAAAACGAAGTGAAGGGAAGTAAAAGAACTTAAAGGCGAGGAGAAGAAAAGAAAGAAAGGAAATAAAAAATAATGGAAAGGGGAATAAAGAACAGTGCGTGAAAGAAATATRAGGGAAGGAAAGGGAAAACGCTCCCAAAAAGGAAAGGCATGACAAGGCAATGTAAGAAAGAAAGAAAAAAGAAATGGAAAATGATTGAAGGAAAGGGAAGAAAAAGAATTAGACAAAGGGAAATGAAAGAAAAGAAAAGATATAGGTATGGAAATTAAATGGAAACTAGGAAAATAAACGGAAAGGGAATGGTATGAAGGGAAAAGAAAAGAAGAGAAAGAAAGGAAAGGTGGAAAAAAAGAAAGAAAAGAAAATAAAGGTATGGAAATGAAATGAAAGCTGCAAGGAATATAAACGGAAGAAAATAGTATGAAAGGAAAAGAAACGAAGAGAAATGAAATGAAGGATAGTCTGGAAAGATTAATCATGAATAAAGATTTACAATACCTCGATTCCACCTGCAGGATCTGAAGCCAATGGATGTGAGTGGAACATCAGACCCATACGTCAAACTACACCTGTTACCTGGGGCTAGTAAGGTATTATAGATCAACGTTTGTTTCCATTTCCCTTGCGTGCTGTGATCCAATAATTAAACTGGTATAACGACTTTCAATATGCATTTCTAAGGCAGCGCTGCAACTTTTAAAATATTTAGCCCTAAATTTGTATTTTTTATTTATTTTTCTTTTTGAAAACTGTTAGTAGCCCTGTTGAAGGACTGAAATAAAAGTCCGAAACTTTGGCAACTATTTAGTATTAGTTTAATCCCTAATTTCTCCTTTAACTATTCCTCGGATTAGTATATTCTAACCAGATAGCCGCTGTTTTATTTTATTCTTTACATAAATATTCATTCCTAGCTTGCGCTTAGTTTTTCCTAAGATGCTTAGCAGCGTGAATTACGATTTTAAAAGAAGCGATCAATAATCACAGCCTGCATGAGAAAACAGACGTCCTTTTGCTCTGCGTCTTCCCTTCCCCTCCCCATCCCCTGAGCAGTTGGGGAGCGAAAAGGCGTCTGTCTACTCGAACTACTTTAGTTAGTGTTTTTGTTTTCGCAAGAATACTCGTTAAGCAATAACAGCAACAGGAATAGCAGCAAAAGCTACAGCAGCAGCAACAACAACATCAACGATCTGTCATGATGATACGTTCATGTCAAGAAATGTTTCATTTCATCGTTTGTTTTTTTTTTTGTTGTTGTTTTTTTTTTGTAGAGCAACAAGTTACGAAGCCAAACCAAGTACAAGACACTTAATCCATTCTTTGACGAAACTCTTACGTATCATGGCATCGCAGAGGAAGATATCTCCAATAAAACACTTAGGTAAGAACTCTGTCAGAACGCTCATCCGTACGAACACATCTACTGTGCAATATTAGGCGCAGTATGGAAACGGTACTGACTTACATTACGTACATGGTGCGATATGCCTTAACTTTGAAATGGCTTCTCAAAAGAATGGTTATCGTATGAGAGCAGCAGGTAGGGGGACTCGCGGTCACCCCCCGGAATTACATGGGCATTCCCCGCGCTCACGTACGTGCGTCGGCCGTGGGTATTGCCCGTTATAAGAGCATATTTTTGCCCATTGTTTCGGCAACCATTTTCGGCTACCTTTTCTACTCCCACACGGGTATTCCTCGTAGACACATTTTTGCACTATAGAGTATTTTTTTTGTGTYCACTGCGCTGGTAGTGTCCGTAGCAAGGTGGAGGCACTTGCAAGTAGCCAAAAACCTTCTACTCCTATATATAGAAGATGGAAGAGCAAAAGAGTATTTCGACTACATTGCAAGAGATGGGTATACGAGCAAAGAGTAGGCTACTAGCACATTTGCTGCTGGACAATGCCTGCGACGGAAACCTGCTGCCAGACATATCGAAGTGCGACTACTTGCGGGGCAACGAAGGACCAACCAGTCTGCAGCCACTAGAAGGATTGCCTCCTTTCGTAGACGATGTGTTTGTCTATGGTTTTGTTTCCGAAGAGAATTTGTATGGAAAGAAGCTGCTTTGTAGGAATGCGAAGGCAATAGTCTCCAAGATATCCATYGCAGCCACGGAGACATTTGGGGTGTTCCTACCAACCAGCGTAGTGCACACGTGCAGGCAGGGAAACATAGTAGACCGCGTCTCCAATATGGCAGCCAAGTGGTCCAGTTTGCATGGAGAACCCGCCGCGGTATTCGTAGCCAAAGTAGACACCTCGGAATTGTCTATAGAAACCGTAGAGGAAAAGATACCAAAGTTTGCTACTTTGCTAGATTCCCACGGACATGGTATCTATTCCGTAGACTACACACAGGATTTCTCCGGTACTTTGGATAGAAAAGCTTTGGTGCGCAGATTGTTGCAGCTGGGCTACGAAATGCAAGGAGAACTGGGTGGACGCAAAGGTACTATTTTGGACAATACGCACCAAGTAGGCGGGCATGTTYGTACTTGGATGGAAGACGGCAAAAGGACAAAAATATACAACAAAATAGTATCCAACTTCGAGGCTGGAGAAGTGCAGAATCCAGTAGGAGCAAAGTTGGCAGAGTACGTGGATTGTCCGAACGACCACCTGCGTAGAACATTCCTGCATCCAGACGTGCAGAAAAGAGGATGCAGCAGAGTGGAAATATCCATCTACGGTAGGGATTTCTCCAAAGAAACCACCAATGCCATTGCGGAGACTATAGAACCTCTAGCAGACATATTCGTAGTACAACCACCCAAAAACATGTGGTTGGCACTCGCGGAACACTTGGATAGATGTTTGTGTATTTGCTGCGAGGAGACAAAAGAAATCTTCCTAGTATGGTACTGCCACGCAGAAACGGGGCGCATAGCTGGCATACGCGTACGAGGCAACGAAAAATGGGAACAGTGCGTACTTTGGACCATAGCAGAGTTTGGTCTGCGCAAATGCCCTATATTCCGCATAGACGTGCGTGGATTGGACCCCGTGGAGATAGCTCCACTTCGATGCTACACCAAAGATTCTCCCACGGTGTTGGCGGAGTCTAACAAGCCCACCCGCGTGCACAAAGATCCTCCTACGATAGCAGACTTTCTCCCAACCACGGAACACGTGGAGTGGGTTTGGCGTACCAAGAAGGCACAAAAGATAGGAGTGGAAAAGAGTCTCTTCGGAATACTAGAAGTACCTACGGACCGCAGGATTTCCTTCCTGTCCAAAAGAAAACGACAGCAAAGATTGGAAGACATACGGGACGACTTGGAAGGAGACGAGTGGGTAGAAGCTACGAAAAGATACCACGCAGAACTGTCGGAACAAAGGCAGTCCATCCTGCGGCAAAAAGAAGAGGACAGGAAGAAAATAGAGAAAGAATTGGAAAAGTATAGGAAACTATTGGATAGGATTTCCAAAAGAACAGGCAATCTGCGTAGATTGTTCTTTGGAGAGGAAAGCCCGTTTGGCCCAGAGACGCCTAGGGCCAAAGTGCATAGGATGGACCAAATACCTGCAGGAGACTACAAGATACTAGGATATGCGATCCCCAGAGACTTGGATGCCAACTGGTTGGCAAGAGGGCACCGCGTAGTATTGCGAAGGAATAGAGAAACTTCTGTAGCATGGGCCACGGAAGCCATATTGGAAGCGTGTGCGGCTGGGAAGTTCGAAGCAGACGGCAACATACGCACTGCCATACCMGGAGAAGAAATATTGGTGGAGTGGAAAAACAATGTAGCCACTGCCTTCGTGCCCRAAGGACCTGGTTTGGATACGTACTACGAATTGGCTAGGAAAGTAGAAYATCCCAAACACCCGGAAAGACTACTAGAAGTGCCTGCGCCACCCAACAAAGAATGTGTACAGGCGCTACATATGCATCCAGGCGAGTACCAATGCTGGAAATACGCCAAAACCACCTACAGAAAAAAAGAAAGGACAATCCTATTCCTTTCCGAAAAATGCTCGGAGTGCGTTTTGGAGGGCTGCACGGTAGAACATGCTACTACTCCGGTCTGGGGACACTTCTTGGACGAGCAAAAGATAGACTGGACATCGCAGCCACCGCTGTACTGCAAGATTGGTAGAGAAAAGACTACCAAAGCAAAGAAGAAAGACCGGCTAGTACACGTCTCTACTCCATCTCCGGAATCCTAGAATTTCTCTGCGGTTTCGTATCCTCCGCTGGATGTCTGTAGTAGACAACTTTGGGCGGTTGCATACGTGCCCAAACGACAGCAGCAATGCCTGCRACTGCAAATAGTACATTGCCGGCTATTTGCCAGTCTATTTTCGTGGATACTTCCTCTACTTCTTCGGACAAATCCTCTGCGTTCTCGAACGAATCTTCTTCCTGCTCCATTTTGGCTAGTAGTTCCTCCTTTGCGTCTCGGAGTTCTTCTCTAGCTTTTTGGAGATCGTCGAGGACTATAGCAAAGGAATCCTGCACTTCTAGGAAATGTTTCTGCAGGTCTGTAGTTGGAGGCTTTTCGGGAATTGCTACTTCTATTCCATTTTCTTTTTCTATCCTGCGTATCTTTGGTATGCCTATGCCGTACTTTTTGGCTACCTTCTGCAGCCCTACACCATTTCTCCTATCTTCCAGTAATCCTGCAATTTCTTCCTCGGATAGTATTTTGGGCGTTGCCATATATATCTATGGACAAACACTATGGATCCATAGGGGTATTCCGTGGGTCCATAGGTATATAGATGTATCTSTACATAGCTCTAGGCATAGCTAGCTACATGCTAGGAAAACAAAGAACGACGCAAATACTTTTGGAGATCTTGGATGGTCTCTACAGACTTCGCATACCAGGCTACATAGCCACTTTGGCGCAACTACCGCGGCATAGATAGTAGAAGGGGAACGAATCGTTCATCTCTATCCACGTCGGTGTTTCTCCATGCAAAGGTGTCGCGACCCACGACCCCCTGCTACGGGGCCCTTGCAAGGTAGCGGTGTTTCGCCTCCACCTACTTCCCTACGGACATTCCTGGTGCTTGCTACCAGCGCAGAGGGCACAAAAAAAAAAAAAACGATTGTGCAAAAATGTGTCTACGAGGAATACCCGTGTGGGAGTAGAAAAGGTAGCCGAAAATGGTTGCCGAAACAATGGGCAAAAATATGCTCTTATAACCTTCAGGCATCAGGTTTATTATCTTTTCGGCTCTTTCTTCGTCCATGATTTCTTCTGTGTCTCCTTCTGTGAATGTCGTGAAGGCGAAGTCGGCGTCCAAACGATCCAATACCTGAGTTCGCAGCCTGCGTACAGTTTTGTTTTGAATGCTTTTGATGGCGTCCATCTATATCTAGGAAATATTTTAACCTTCGTTTACGACCTTACGCGTACGCATCCAATATTTCATAGGACGACGTCTAAAAGCAGGTTTGGGAACCGCGGGCATTCTTGTCAACTCCTTTACACATTCCTCACGCGTTGTCGTACAAGTTGTCACAATTTCACAGGGATCCTTCCTGCGTAGATGGGAAATCAGGCCACACTTTATAAAACTCCTATTACACCTCGGACAAACAAACTTGCCAGTCATCTTATACTTAACGATATTTTTTCATAAAACCCGCGGCGGCCGCATGGTACTTTACAACTCTTTACATTGGAACGAATATTTTAACTTAGTAATACGGGCACCAGTAAAACCCGTAGAGAGCTTTTCGAATCGAATTACACAGGCAATACACATAGCGACCTTACGGGCAATACCCACGGCCGACGCACGTACGTGAGCGCGGGGAATGCCCATGCAATTCCGGGGGGTGACCGCGAGTCCCCCTACCTGCTGCTTATGAGTGGTAAACATACGGTACTAACTTACATTACGTACACGGTGCGATATGCCTTAACTTTGAAATGGCTTCCCAAAAGAATGGTTATCGTATGAGGGGTAAACATACAGTACTAACTTACGACATGTACACGGTGCGATATGCCTTAACTTTGAAATGACTTCCCAAAAGAATGGTTATCGTATGAGKGGTAAACATAGGTGCTAACTTACGATACGTACACGGTACGACATCCGGTAACATTGAAATGGCTTCCAATTGTCTTCCAATAATTCATCTAATTACAGCGCGTACTGAGTTACGGCCACAGTAAGATACGGTACGGCTACAATACGCCTCAGTACGAAGTTGCCGTATCGTTTATACTCTATTGTTCTTCTATAGGTTACAAGTGTACGATGAAGACAAGCTTGGACGTAACGACTTCATTGGTGAAACGTCTGTTCATCTCAAAGTACTTAACAGTACTCCAACACAGAAATTCAAACGAAGTCTACTGCCAAAAGCTTACGTAAGTACAACCTGATCTAGAAGGCCCTTTAGATTACTTTTGACCACTCTAGTTAGTAATCAACCTTGGGTGTAATGTTTTCCCATTTCAGACCACGCGTGTCATTCCCTAGAGTATCATTTCTTTGTTTGACGGTTGCGCATCAGAAGACACATGAATATGGATACAACTCAAACAAAGAATCTTATTCACAAGAGAATGACACAGGTGTCCTTATATCTGTGCCATGACCGTGCCATGTTTATTCCAATTTATACGATGCTGTTCTAGTAGGACGTCGATCTCATACCTCCAAGCCATCTATGAACTCGCATGATTCTGTCGTTTACACCCTCCTGTCTAATGTAGCCAACATAACATGTTATAAGGACTTGCTTCGGGCTAGGGGACCTCGGCAAGAACCTCACTCCTGAATCTCTCTCTCTTAAGCTAGTCTGATGTGTTCTTCTCATTTCTCTTTATGTTCTCGTGATGTGTTGCTTTTTGGTTCAAAAGTTTGATACTGGAAGGGTAAGTACATCGTACAATTGAACGATATAATGATCAGCGGAGAGCGCGTTACGTAAGGGGTCCAATGCTGAAAAAACGTTTCCTCCTGCTAGCAGGGAAAAATGCTGTCTCGTCTTGCGCTGCACGCTTTTGTCACTTGTGACATTCCCCTACCCCTCCCCATTTAGTAGCAAAATAATTTTTCCTAGCTTTTATTTTAGCATAAGTAATTATGCATAGTTTTGTAAACGAATCTTGTTCGTCCACACGTAAACAGTCATCGTTTACAACTCGTTTTGTCCATCCCCACGTAAAAGCTAAAACGATTTCAAAACAATAGAAAACAGAGAATATACGCAGTTATGCGATCTTTAGCCTTTTATAAACGTGTCGAAATCATGTTTTCATTGTTTACTGTGGACGGAAGGCCTAAACACATCCAAAAGCCTGCGTTTACAAATGAAAATATGACTGCGTGGACTGGGGCATTAAATATGTGTGCGCGGTCCATGGGGTTTAAAAATTTGATGATGACATTCGTGTCTATATCACAGAACTAACATTTGGTATTTGTATTGTGTTCACAATGTAGGAATCTCCTGAAAATAGGTTAGGTCGCATTCAACTGACATTGAAATACAATACAACAAGGAGCATGCTCTTTGTGGGGGTTGTCCGCTGTGCGGGCCTTGCATCCATGGATGCTAATGGTTATTCGGATCCCTATGTTAAATGGTAAGCTTACTTGTTTTCTGTATTATAATTCATAGTTTTTAATACAGATGTATGACCTTATTGGGGTATAATTGTCTTAATTGGGAAGCACGGGTGGCGTTGCGGTGTGAGTGCTCACCTCTCATCAATGCGACCCGAGTTCGAGTCCCGCCGGGTTCGGTGTTGTATATGAGTAGAGTTGTTTRTTGGTTCTCTCCTGTGCTTCAAGGGTTTTCTGGGTTCTCCGGTTTTCCTCCCTCCGCAAAAACCAACTCCCAGTAAATACTAATTCGATCATGGAATGAGGACCACAGGTTTGTTAGCCACTGGCTATTAAGTGCTACCCTCGTGAAAAAAGGACTTTATTATGTTATTCTCCTTTTTCTTAACATGCTTAAAAAGTTAATATTATACAATTTTAAACCTCTATTTCTGATTGGTCAAAGTGTGTGCTTTATGAGAGCACAATATATGAAAGAACGACCTTTTCTGATTTTTATGTTATAAAAGAAATAATGTACTGGGCCCGGTTGTACGAAGCCTGGATAGCGCTATCCGGCAGATAAATCCTTATCGAGTGGATAAGTCAATGCTGTTATCCAACAAATTTATCCACTGGATAAGATTTATCCATTGGATAGCGCTATTCACCCTTCGTACAACCAGGCGCTGTTGAATTGGCAAAACACTTGAGAAGTGTGAGAAGCATTGAGCTATGAGTCATGCTTTCTCCTAATACTTCTCTTGTGTTCTGCCAATCACTGCTTCATTTTCAATGTCTTCAATAACAAGATTTTTTGATCATATTCAATATTTTCTCTAGTTATCTGAAGCCTGATCCTTCAAAGAAAAGTAAAAGACGAACAGCCATCAAGAAAAAGACTCTAAACCCTGAATTCAATGAGGTAAGAGGCTAAATACAGCCACATACAGTCTGATTTGAAATCATTCTATTTTGTCGGTTGGTCTTCGTCATCTATACAGGGAAGATACGGGGTGACTGACACTAAGAATCTGCGTCCTTCGTTCCATTTGATTTCAAATTAACAGAGAATGCTCTGTTGAAGACCAACTGTGGCTGTATGAAAGTGATTGGCAGGACTGTGTCAATTGTATTTACCACCTATGGACACACCCTTGTCGTATCCATTGGAAATGGTTACTCACACTGCTACCTTAAATGCTATATGGGAGCAGGTAACAATATTACGAACTTGATCGTAATAGACCTCTTCAGCTTCGGCATTTGTTTTGCCCATTCCCAACCATGTGTCATTTCGTTGTGAATAGGATTCTTTGTTTCATTTGCATCCAAACAAAGAAATGATGCTCAAGGGAATGACACATGGTCTAAAATGGGCAAAATATTAGGCCCAAGCGAAAGTGATCTAGCGAACATGTTTATTTCTTTTAGGAATTTGCGTACGAGATTCCTCACAGTGAACTTGCGAAAAAGACCTTAGAGGTAACTGTGTGGGACTACGATGTTGGCAAAAGTAATGATTTCATAGGTGAGTATGGTTATACAAAATGATGTTATTGCTGATTTTAGGCACTGTGATAAATGCCCTCCACCTTTTTTTCCTTTTATTGTGAAATTTTGTGTTGTGACCCTACAGCACATTATTTTTTTCTGAGTTTCTTTCAAATTTTGCTATCCCTTGAACACCATTTATTCTACTGACTTATTGCTGGTATATTGTTATTTCAATAGGTGGGGTAACCCTGCATATCAAGGCAGAGGGGCAAGCTCTCAAACACTGGTATGAAACACTGAAATACCCAAATCAAGCACATACCCAATGGCACACACTGGAAGCCATCACAGCTCAGGATGACTAACAAACTTGATTAGAATTCTTTCTGTATAACCTCTGCCATAAACATTCAATGGTGCTATAAACTGGAAGCCATCACAGCTCAGGACGACTAACAAACTTGATGAGAATTCTCTCTGTATAACCTCTACCTTAAACATTCAATGGTGCTATAAACTGGAAGCCATCACAGCTCAGGACAACAAACTTGATGAGAATTCTTTCTGTATAACCTCTGCCTTAAACATTCAATGGTGCTATACACTGGAAGCCATCACAGCTCAGGACAACAAACTTGATTAGAATTCT